CTCTACCACTGAGCCACCTTCCCAGCCCTGACATTTGTATTTTAAAACAGGTCACAGAGCTGGAAATGTGGCTTAGTGGTAGAGTGCTTGACTAGCATGTATGAAGCCCTGGATTCAATTCCTCAGTACCACATAAACAGAAAAAGCCAGAAATGGCACTGTGGCTCAAGTGGTAGAGTGCTATCCTTGAGCAAAGAAGCTCGGGACAGTGCGCAGGCGCTGAGTTCAAGCCCCAGGACTAGCACCCCCCAAAAAAAAAAAAACAAAATAAAATGGTCCAGGAAGAGGGTACATTTCTGCTGGTTGAGTGTTAGGCCCTGCAATAAATGGATAAGGCACATAATTGTGAATAGGAACAGATTCTTTTCTTTTTCCCTTTGAGACCGTATGTTTTGGGGGAGCATCTGTCTTACAATGTAGCCCAGGCTGGCCTTGATCTTCCTGCTTTGACTTCTGGAATGCTGGGATTATAGGCAGATTTCTTCTCGAAGTATCCACTAAATCATACATAGAGACAATGCCCTTTTGTGAGGTAAGTGTCAGAAGCCCTGGGAAAACTCAGAGAGAAGTTCAGATCGGATACCATACTGGGCACTGTGCCTACTTCATCGCAGTGAACGCTCATTCACAGCAGTCTCATAAAGAACAGATTCTTTTCTTCATTTGCTAGACAAGGACACCGAAGCACAAAGGTGCAGTGACCTGCTTAAGGTCACTGTAAGCTCTTTGGATTCCATGTTGCCTTTCGAGCCCTGATGGAGGATGCTTCTTGAGCAGGACAGGACTGTTTCCAGACCTCAGCTCTGCCAAGGCAGACTTCCCGTGTAGGCAGAATGCTTAAAGGAGCAGGTTTAGGCTCTAGCAGAAGAGAGCAGGTAGGAGAGCCTCTTCTAGCTTAGCAATTTCTCATGCATGAGGGAAGGTAACAGAAGACCTCTGTCCCTCACTCCATTTGCCTTCAGAGGGGCCGCAGGGTCAGTGTCCCTGTCTCCCGCCCCCCTTCCCCCCCCAGCAACCTTTAACCTTCCAACGCCCATGCGCAAGGCTGTCTACCCCCACACATTCTTCTCACAGTAGTCTAAGCTGCAGTGTGGACTGCAGTTGACTATGGAGAACCGAAGCCCACTGGCCATCTTGCATCTGCTGCTGCTGCTGCTGCTGCCTTGCACCCACCAGGAACAAGCCCTAGGATTTGTTCTCCCCACTCAGGTGCAGAAGGGAGATGGGGTTCTCTGTCCATATGTGTCTAAATGAGCTACATTTTGGCTCAGTCCTCTCCCATTCTCTCCTCTTCTAGCTATGTAGCATTGCCTTTCCCTCTGTCTCTGACATGTCCATCAGTGAGTTTATTTATTTTCTTTCTCATAGAGTGCTCAGGATCCTCCTGCTAGACATCTCATCAATGGCCCAGGACAAAAGCCAGTTGCTGTTATGACATTTGACCTCACCAAGATCACTAAGTATGAGATTCACCTATCTTCTTGACCCCGACCTACTTTGTCCCCTTTCCTTTTCCCTGGCTCTCTATATTCTTGTTCCCTGAACACTACCACTTTTAGCCCTCATACTACACCCTATCTATAGTCTTTCTTTCCTCTATATCCTTCCAGACCTTCCTCTTCCTTTGAGTTTCGAACATGGGATCCAGAAGGAGTGATTTTTTATGGGGACACCAACAGTGAGAATGACTGGTTCATGCTAGGGCTTCGGGATGGCAGGCCTGAGATCCAGCTCCACAATCTCTGGGCCCAGCTGACAGTGGGGATTGGACTTCAGCTGAATGATGGGAGATGGCACCAGGTAAGTGAGCTTTGTTCCCATAGGGTGAGGGTATCTCCAGCTGAAGAAGGAGAACACATTGTGGGCCTTCCCTTTGCCATTGTCATCTCATCTCATTGATATAAAACCTCCATGAGCTAGCTTTTTTTTTTTTCTTTTCCACTGGTACTAGGGATTGAATGCAGAGCCTGGACACGGTCCCTTAAGTGTTCTACAACCTCAGCCACAGTTCCACTTCTGGCTCTTTGGTGGTTATTTGGAGATAAGACTTTCCTGCCCAAGCTGGCTTTGAACTGCAATGTTCAGGTCTCAGCCTTCTGAGTAGCTAGGATTACAGGTGTGAGCAACCAGCAGCCAGATATGCAGCTATTAGTGTTTTGTTGTTTTTAGTATTAGGGTTGTGTTGTTTTCAACAAAGAAAAAAATCTCTTGTTTACATTTCCTGGAGTTCATTTTGATAAATATTATATTATCAGATTATACAGCCATTCTTTTTTTTTTTTTCTTGATCAGTCATGCGGCTTGAACTCAGGGTCTGGGCACCATCCCTGAGCTTTTTTGCTCAAGACCAGCACTCTACCACTGAGCCACAGCACCATTTCCAGTTTTCTGGTAGTTAATTGGAGATAAGAGCCTCACAGACTTTTCTGCCTGGGCTGGCTTTGAACCACAACCCTCAGATCTCAGTCTACTGAGTAGCTAGGATTACAGGCATGAACCAACAGTGCCTGGCTTATGCAACTATTCTTAGCCCTGTTTTCTGGTTGTTGTTTTCTTTTTGTGCATGTGTGTGCCAATCCTGGGGCTTGAACTCAGGGCCTGGACACTGTTCATGAGCTTCTTTTGCTCAAGGCTAGCACTCCACCACTTGAGCCACAGTGCCACTTCTGGCTTTTTCTGTGTGTGTGGTACTGAAGAATCGAACCCAGGACTTCATGCATGCAAAGCAAGCGCTCTACCACTAAGCCATATTCCCAGCCCTTGTTTTTGTGTTTCAGATGGATATCCTGAGGCTCAGTCTGTATATGTGTGGTAAAGCCTAAGTGAACCAAGGATGCTAGCTATGTCTTAAAGTGCATGTTCTTCTTGCATAGTAGGCTGAAATCCAGGACTGGGCTGAGGAGTCTCTGATCTTTCTGCTTCTCACCTCCTACAGGTGGAAGTGAAGATCGATGGGGACTCACTGCTGCTGTGGGTGGATGGGGAGGAGAAGCTGAGCCTGCGACAAGTCTCTGGGCCCCTGACCAACAAACCTCAGCCCATCATGAGGATTGCTTTGGGGGGGCTGCTCTTCCCCACGTCCAAGCTCCGGTTACCGGTAACTATACCACTGGAGCAGGAATTGAGACCAAGCTGGGGGGATCTAAATCCAGATTTTAGAGAGAAGGATGGGAGTTGCCTGAAAGAAGTCAAATGATTGTATCTCAAAGGACAGTATACTGGAGCTAGGGCTCAGATGTTCTGATTCTGACATTCTATCTTTCTTCCTTCCTTTCTTCTTTCCTCCCACTCCTCTAGCTGGTCCCTGCCCTGGATGGCTGTGTACGCCATGACTCTTGGCTGGGCATGGTGGCCCAGACCTTAGTGTCTGCACCTTCTAGCCTAACAAATTGTGATGTGGAATTGCAACCTGGACTGTTCTTCCCTCCAGGGACTCATGCAGAATTCCGTCTCCAAGGTAGACTTAGAGTCTCTTTCTACCTCCAACTCTGCCTTCCCCTGTCTCCCTCTAACTAGGGCCTTTTCTCCATGAAACCCCAATCTTTCTCTATAGACATTCCCCAGCCTCATGAAGACCCCTGGATGTTTTCTCTGGATCTGGGATTTAAGATGGCAGCAGGCTCAGGCCATCTCCTCGCTCTTGCGGCACCAGAGAACTCTTCTTGGCTTAGTCTTCAGCTCCAAGATCAAGTAAAGGGAGAGAGTGGGGTGTTGGGTGTATTCAGTGGAGCCTGGGAGCCATGGAATCAAAGTGGATGCCAACATTTCACTATTAGAAAGATTAATGAATGGTAATCAAGTTGAGGTGGGAGGTCAAGGGCCTGTCTGGAAGTTGCCCACAGCAAGCAAATAGCATTTATGAAATTGCATAAAAGGGTATTGTTTCATAGAAGGTCAAACAAGGAAAATTGGGTAGAGATGTGGCTGGCAAGTGGAATTAAGGCAGGTAGGAGTGGGGTCCTAAGCTCATGTTTTCCTCCTTTCTCCTATCTCTCTCCACCCACTGCAGAAGGTGGTGTTGTCTTCCTGGGCGGGGCCTGGGCTGTCTCTGCCTCTGGTCTTGGGAATCCCTCTTCAGCTGAAGCTGAATGTTTCTAGAGTGGTTTTGAGCCAGGGGTGGAAATCAGAGGTCCTTTCCCTGCCTCCTTTGGAACTTGGCCCCTTCCCTAACCTCTGGGCCCAGCCTCAAGGTCGTCTCTTTATGGGGGCTTTACCAGGTAAGAGAATGCAGTTTAGGTTTCTCGATATAGTGCTATGTTGAAGAAGGGAATACGTTTTGAGAGTAAGGAAACCTCTAGGAGGAGAGAAGAACAGGCCACGGGAAGAGATGGGATATAGGACTATAGGCGGGCATAGCCGAAGTGGTAGTGTTTGCCTAGCATGTGAAAGGCCTCATTAAAAACACACAAAAACATATTGTCGGGCTTGGTGCTCATGTCTGTAATTATAGCTATTCAGGTGGCTGAGATCTGTGGACCAAGGTTTAAAGTCCTTGAAATTTTTTTTTTTTTTTTGCCAGTCCTGGGGCTTGAATTCAGGGTCTAGGCACTGTCCCTGAGCTTTTGTGCTCAAGGCTAGTGCTCTAGCTCTTTGAGCCATAGCTGTACTTCCAGTTTTCTGGTAGTTAATTGGAGATAAATTTAAGTCTCATGGACTTTCCTGCCCAGTCTGGCTTTCAGCTGTGATCCTCAGATCTCAGCCTCTCGAGTAGCTAGAATTACATGTGTAAGTCACCAGCACCCAGCTTTACTTTGGGCTTTTTGGTGGTTGATTGGAGATTCATGCAGGGGCTGGGAATGTGGCTTAGTGGTAGAGTGATTGCCTAGCATGAATGAAGCCTGGGTTCAATTCCTTAGTGCCACATAAACAAAAATAGCCAGAAATGGCACTGTGACTCAAGTGGTAGAGCACTAACCTTGAGCTGAAGAGCTGACAGCACCTAGTTCTGGAGCTCAAGCCCCATGGCTGGTGAGGGGTTGGAGAAATTCAGGTTAGAGAACTGAAGTGTCTGGATCCAAGTCACTGTAATGCTCTAATGTCATCCCTGTGCTATGTCCTTCTAGGAGAAAACTCTTCTGCCTCCTTTTGCTTGGATGGCCTTTGGGCACAAGGACAGAGACTGGACATAGACAAGGCTCTGAGCAGAAGCCAAGACATTTGGACTCACAGCTGCCCCCAGAGCCCAGGCAATGGCTCTGATACCTCCCATTAAACCCCCTTTCACTCATCTATTCAACAATTATTTGCTGTGCACTGGCAATGGACCAGGCAGTGTGTCAAACATTGAGATGTATAAAAGAGCAAAACAACCCTGGTTTCTACCTTCGTGGTGTTCACAAATCCCAATTATTCACAAAGGTGGATAATTGAAAATCACTATGAGAAAGCAGTCAGTTGTGAAAGGCCGTGTGCTAGTGACTCATGTCTGTAATCCTCAGCTGAGATCTGAGGACTGACTGTGGTTCAAAGGCAGCCCAAGCAAGAAAGCGAATGAGGACCTTATTTCCAATTAACCACTAGAAAATTGCAACTGGAGGGGCTGGGAAGGTGGCTCAGTGGTAGAGCGCTTGCCTTGCATGCATGAAGCCCTGGGTTCAATTCCTCAGCACCATATAAGCACTTGGAGCTATAGCTCCAAGTGGTAGAGCATTAGCCTCTTTTTTTTGGGGGGGTCTGGTTATGGGGCCTGAACTCTGGGCCTGGGCACTGTCCCTCAGCTCTTCAGCTCAAGGCTAGTGCTCTACCACTTGAGCCACAGCGCCACTTCCGGCTTTTTTTT